TAGGTATAACAATAATTTTTTCTTTGTTACAAATAATAATGATGTTACAAATATAATTAAACATTTTATTTATTTTATAAAATCAAGTATTTTTAAATTCAGCATTTTTTATAGTTTTTATGTTATTGTTCAAAAAATATTTTATTTTATCACAATGTATTATTTTCAACGATTTCCTCTCTTTTTTTTTTTCTGTCTCTTTAATATTTTATTACAAAATTTTTAGTAATATATTACAATTTTAATAATTAATGTATTAATGCTTGGACATACATAAAATGTTCATATATTTTTAGATCCTAGTGGAACTTTTATTATATGTTTTAAAAATTAAATATAAGTATTTTTCATGTGACACATTTAACTTTAAAAATATTGATTTAATGATATATTATTATTGTATTACAAATTTATACCAGTATATGTGAAATGTATAATAATGGCATGACAAATGTTCTATTCTCTACTCTAATTGTGAAGAAAGATAACAGTTTCATTTCTGATAAGAAAACATACAGAAGAGGCAAGATACTCAACAGAAAATTCAGATTTTGATAATGCTTTACGCGTTATATGTAGAGCAGTCAGTAAGATGAGTGATTTCGCTATTTTCTATTAGTGCAGGAAAATGAATTTATATTCTCATATATGCACAATCTAATACACGAGGCTAAGAATCTGCAAGTAAAATCAACTGCGGCCTATTTCCTTTAGCGATGAATTAGTCATTATGAGCTTTTAATTTTCAATCATAGGACGTTCTTGTTTTTCCTTGCTTCTTATTTATTTAGAAAATTTATCTTATTTATTCGAAAAAAAATGAATATAAATATTATCTAAGACAGATTTTGACTATAATTTTAACTATATATATATATAAAACTATATGCTATATAAATATATATATATATAAGTAATGATTAAATATTTTATAAAAATAAATTTGTGTAATGAAAATTAATTTTCTTCTCGCATATATGTCTATTTAATATCATATTTTCCATATAATTTGTCGTAAGGACAAATGCTTATTGAATCGAAAGTATTAATATTACGTTTGGTTATTATATATTACATTTATTGTTACAATTAATTAAACTTTACTGCCCGTGACAGAGAGAGGCATCAATTTTATATATAAATAACAATTCAGATAATAATTTTCTATAAATATGTCTATTACAATCGATCAATAAAATTATGATTGATTTCGTAAGAATCTAAGATTAATAGTATAAATAGACAATGAATATTTGCATTAATTCTCTGTTGTCAAATATTTTTTACATGCAACTTATCGCATCTTGTTTATTTTTTATTTACAGAAGTTGCAAACGATTGGCGAGGATTTCTGTGGTCTGGATGTAAACACGCCATTAGGTGGTGAAGAGCCGATGGGCGCGACTGCAGTTTTGACATTTGAGACTCACTTGACGGCTGTGGCGGCCACTTCAACCGGTGATTACACCGTGGTCTTCGTTGGCACCAATAAAGGACATCTCAAGAAGGTTAGTGTTTGGAAGTAATTAACTTAATGGTTTATTGATTTTTGACAATCAAAATTATCTCTTGTAACTTAATAGAAAGAAAATTGTTATATAAACATAATTTTTGTGAAAACAATCATTAAAATCATTAAATAACAAATTCGGATTCGATGAAGTCTACAGGATATCAATTTCTAATCACGATGGAAACTGCGGTTACGTTATTATTCGATAAATTATCTAAAATGTCTAATAAATTTAATACTAGAAGAATGAAAAAAACGATATTGGAAACAACATACTAAGAGTATACTGCACAGTATAATGAATGATGCTGTTATATGCATGTATGTATATATTTATATATTAAACGATGAGTGCATTTGTTCTTTCATGTCTATGATTATCTATCTTGCAATATATTTTGCAATTAATGTTTTAGAAGCTCTTAGAATGAAATTATTAAATAATGAGATTACTACAGGATTTACAGGGTTTGGTCTAGTTACCGATCGTGATCAGACTACTTATCAGACTACTTATGGTTACGTTATTCTCGGCAAATTATCTAAAACGTCCAATAGATTTACCGAAAATATAATATATTGGAAACAGGTTTAGGATAGCTGCACTACATAATGAGCAACATTACAGCGAAGAATAATGTTTCGTCTTAATATAGAAATCGTTGCAAAATATTATCTAATAATATTTCTTCAACCTGCGCCGCTACATAATTACGTGATAATAGAGAAAATTTCTACGTAACTAATAGAGGTGATCAGCTTTATAAAGTCATCGATTAGTGAGACGTAGCTCGAGACGCGCTTAACGCTACTTGCTTCCCTCAATCTCTTCAACGTTGTAGGCAAGGAGTTCAGCAACCCTGAACTTAACGGGGCGAAGCAGGATCAAATGGCAAAGTTCAGTAGTCGCGCATGCACATGTACATGCACACGTCATCTCGTCGAAGCATACGCCCGCGTACGTACTAAAGTCTTCCTCGATCATCGTAGGGCATGATCGTTAAATTAATCGCGATCGCCACACGGTTACCACGCTCGTGAATCAAAACACGATACAACAACCGTGCCGTGTAAACGTTACAATAGGCCATTTAATTGGCTTCGCGATAGACGATAGAGTCAACGGCTTGTCCGAAAAACCTGTACCGCGTGTATACCTCGCAGGATTCGAGATTGGTGGATAGTGCATTATCGTGCATCGCCATTAAAGCAATTCCTATGAAATTTTCGCAGGAGGAACAGCTGCATCTGCTAGTTGGATTATCACGAACGGGAATCCTCATGGCACGGACATGAATTTTCTACGCTTTTTTCTACCAAGAGATTTATACTTCTCGTTCCTTAACTCTAAGCGTAGTTCATTCTTTGAATCTCTTTTTTCTCTCCCCTTTTCTGGAATAGAAACTTTGAAAGCTGTCGATAATTGTTCTCGCTAATTTATTTTTTAGAATTTTATATATGTTCGTACATTAGTTACCTGCGGAAAGGAAGGAAATGTGTTCTCGTTTCGTGATCTCGAGCGGCAGTCTCATCGTCCCCGACAGAGAAAGTAACGATAAATATAGCTAGCCGTCCTATTGTAGATAATAGTATTCATATAATGTAGATAATAGTATTTAGTAAGTAGTAACGCATGTAATCGAAGCGCAGGGAAGGGGGACACGTACGTGTCTGTATATCTGTATGTATATCTACACTTACAGTAGACGCGACGTTACGTTTTTACGCCACGACGTCATGTCTAATTATAAATTTATATTATTTACGATACTATAAACGTAAAATCTCATACCGCTCTTCTAAGATTTATCAGTCTCGTAAACGGCGATCTGTAACCCTACTTTGGACGTTTAATACTCGGTACAGCGCATCCAGACTCGGCTATTTCGTGATTTGCCTTTGTGAGATTCGCGATGTATAATACACCTTTTGCCATTTCAATGGAAATAGATTATCTTGGCGAGACCTCGCCTGAAGCGCGCCTTGCTAATGTTCTTCTTCAGCGCCCGATCAGCTCGTTCGATAGGTCGAGTCGATTTACGTTTACGTGAGCGTGCGCTTATTATCGTGAGGAGAAGATTTATTTAGATCCAGAAAACTGATCCAAGAATCACTAATACAAAGTTAGAAGAATGTATTAACACTTGTAAAACGGATTCACATATAGATAGAAATAACATTAATAAATGATACAATAAAACTACAAATAATTACATATTTATTTTTTAGAATTCATATTTTTATCAAAATTATAAATTAACACCTTTATTAAAAATATTTTATAATGAACAGTAATGAACAGTAATAATAATAATATCATGAATGTAATAATACATATATTGAATTGTGATAGTTTTTATAAGAGAATACGTATATTTATGTCTAATATTCTTATTTTATGTATTACTTATATCTATGTCTATTATTTTTTCTAGATCTTAATTATTTTATATTAATTAGAAATTTTTCCTTCATGATTGCGTTTTTAACTTTTTTGCATACTTATTGTTTCTGAACTAGCGCAAAAAATATAAAAATTTTTAAAAGATGAAGTTTAAACGGTAAAATTTTTGCATAAATGAAATGAATTTTTATTTTCAATAGAAGCAGCTTTAGCATATATTTCAAAGAGACGAAAAAACTATTATTACTATCGGATTACGAATTATTTTTGCCTTATTTTCTCGCAAACTTATTTTATTAGTTTCAAAAGATTATTTTATTATAAAATATTTCATTCTCAAGATCATCCTTGCCGCATTTCATATTTTTATAATTTATCAGTTAATCGATTTTCGATCGGATTTTTAGATTTTATTATTCTTTTGACGCCCTTTCTTCGTGTGCTTGACCTATAATAAACCTATAATAAAGCAAAGGCACATTCTCATATGTGACACGTGGCGATATATGACATACATGTTCTCGTTATAGCTATGTTTAATATTAACTGATTCGATTAAATTAGTACTAACCGGGCCAATAGCTGAATTTTCACCGAGTAAAAAAGAGATCTAATGGAAGAGACATTAAGAATTGATTTGTTCAGAAATTTCGGACATCATCACGTTGCAAATTTTATTTGTCGATATAATTTAGTCTTAAAGTTGAGATTATCTTAAATAAAGCAAATTTGTTTAAATTAGAGAAACAATAGTAAGTTAATAGAAATAAACATAGCGAATATTGATGAAATATATTACTTGTTTAGAATCTTTGTTTAATGCGCGAAAATTTGCATGTATAGATCAATATTAAAGTTACATTAGAGTTTTAGCCAAATTTTTGAATATTCAATCAATATTCACGTTTTTTTTTTTATTACTTAATTGACACTTGAGTTTTTAGAAGCACGAAAAATAAATTATTCAAAAGTTGCCAGTTTATAAAATCATTTTAAAATAAATTAGAATAGGACATTATTTTTTCGATTTTTTCGTACAATTTATAGGCTGAGTATTTGAAATTAATTAGGCGATATGATTTCCCATATCGATCACCCAAACTAATTTCTGCGGAAGGAACTTTTTCACACGGGCGCATTGACTCGGGCGAGCTAATTACGCCGGATCAGCTGGTGGATGATTAATAATCGCATCGCATTGTTTATCATTCCTATGATCATCACCACGACACGGCGGCTGCGAAATATTTCGTCCGCAATCCCATCGGTACGACGCGAGAAGACGCCGCGCGCCTTTACCATGCCGTTGAAGCAGCGGGCGTTGATTCATGACTCGTCCCGGTCCCGGAAGATATTAATTAATGATCGCGTCCACTTATACACACACATATATATATAGATAAAACGTGCGATCGAATACGGACCGGCACTTCTCAGGTCGTGTCGTGAGGTCATTCTCGAGATATTTACACGTGCAACACTGGCAGTCACTGTGCGAACGCGCCGATAAATAACCTTCCTAAATGCGCTTTAGCATCGAAATAAATCGACGTATAAATTTCCTCTCCTAAATTTCCTTCTCCTTTCAGAAATTTTTTTATGATATTGCCTGTGATTGACGTATAGCATTAAATCAAATCTAGCAAAAATTTTCGATGAAATTTTTTGGCTGGGCTAAATATATTAAAAGTTATTTATTTATTTTTTTTTTTTTTCAAAGTTAAAGAGCTTGAAAATTTTTTAATTTTAATATTTTGATAGTTATTGTCTAAACGAGAATCTTATTAAAAAATATATAAAGTCCATACGAAAATAGAAATTAAATCCTTAAATTGGCATTTTATTTTAAATTGTATAATATAATTTTAAAAATGTTTATATTTCTATCATATCTTTTACTTAAAAATTAATTGCAAATTAGTACAAAGTATCACTGTTTATTACTTTTATTAAAATTATTTTTACTGCTAAAATTTTATATATATTCTCTATTATATGTAGATATTCTCTATTATATGTAGATAATAGCATTGTTTTAACTTTTTAGCAAGATATCAGATAAATTTCAGCACATTATCTATTTATTGCTTAATGGTATACAATTAAGTGGCAGTTATAACTACTTACTTATTACTACTACTATTTTTTATTTTATGTTTGTTACTTCAATTTTTTTAATTAAAAAGATTGTGTTTTAACTTTTTATGGAATTTATATTTAGTTACATCTCAGATACGAATTATATGTATACAATAGAAATTCCGGTATGTATCGAAGTGTATCGACGTGCGAAATTTCGCTTGAACTGTTAATGAAAGTTCCGCTGTTTATTATATACGACTATGCGGGAATTCGTGACTGAGGGTCATGGCAAGAGGTCGTCGCTGATATATTTACGCATGTTCATCGACATTCCTTCCGGTAGCACCGTGCAAATATAGCCTCAGGTCCCGCAAGTGCAACAGGAATCGTGGGACCAATCAAAGTTTTCAATTTTACCTTTCAATTTAATTAAAAATTTCTTTATGTATAATATATCCGATAAAAAAATATTGTTAACATCACTACTAATTATTGTATTTAAAAGTTTA